GAAAATGGACGTTAAGTCAAAAACTGTAAAAAAAAAAGGGGGGGGAAGAATAATGATGAAGAGATCAATTCAGGAAGAGAAGTAACAATTGTAAGTATATATGCACCTATCATTGAAACACCTAAACATATAAAGCAAATATTAATAGATCTAAAGAAAGAAATGCATTGCAATACAATTATAGTAAGGGACTCTAACAAGACACTTGAACACATCCTCCAGACAGAAAATCAACAAAGAAACTTCAGATTTAAACTGTAGACCAATGGACCTAATAGACATTTAGAGAACATTCCAGTGTATAGCTACAATTATACATTCATTTCAACTGCACATGAGATATTCCAGGATAGATAAGTCATTTGAAAACTTCTAAATTATATCAAATATCTTTTCTGACAATAGTGATATAAAACTAGAAATCAAAGTGTCAATGATCTTCATAGAAATAGAAACACAATTTATAAAAAGAAATTCATGATTGGGTATTTGTGCATTCGTGGAAGAATGAGAGGAACAGAGAGTAAGAGAAGGAGAGAGAGAAGTACCCTCCACAAGGTCTGGTCATCTGCAATCTCCTTCCTCCTGTCCTCCAGCCCATAGGATTCTCAGCATTTGCCTGGTATGTTTCAGGCTGACTGGGCCAAAGATTCAAACTGCAGTCGTCATGTGGAAAGAATGTATATTCAGTAGCTTTTGGATGGAACGGCTTCTCTTGAACAGTGTTACTGCTGTGTGAAAGACAAAAATTTTGAAATTCGTAGAATAAAATATAGATGATCAACTTACAAAGGGGTTGTATCCTGATAAACTCATCATAAGTTGAAAATATAGGAAGTCAAAAATTCATTGAATACACCTAACCTATGGAAGATCACAGCTTAGGCTCATGGACTTTAAATGTGCTCAAAACATTTACCTTAACCTAATTGTGCTGAGACACTTACCACAGCCTATAGTTGGGCAAAATCATCTAACACAAAGACTATTTAGTTTATACTAAAGGGTTTGATATCTCATGTAACTTATTGAATACTGAACCAAAAGTAAGACACAGAATGGTTGTCCAACTACTCAAAGTACAGTTTCTACTGAAGGTATATAGCTTTTGTATCTTCATAAAGTCGAAAAATCCTTAACTGAAAACTGTATGTGGGGAAAAACTGTTAATGATCAGGAGCAGTGAGAGATTTATTAAATAAAATATAAGAAGTTCTAATCATATAGAAACTGTGACTATTGTACATTGAAATTAAAGCATATGTTCATTGAAAGGCATCATAGATTAAAAAAAATGACAATATTGGAAAGACAATTGGAAGAAAATGTCTGCAATACATACAGAAAATGTCTACAATACCAACAACACAAAGAGTGGTATTGAGAACATTCTAAAAAATCTTTCAAAGAGAATAGAAGAAGTTCAGTGACCCAGTGGAAAAGTATACAAAAATGATTAGCCATCTAACAGGTGAGGCAAAACTAATGAAGAATAAACAGAGGGAAATATCCTAAACCTCATAAAGAAATAGGGAAATGCGTGCTAAGATCACACTGAGATATAATTTACCTTCACCAACTGGGCAAAAATTTATAGTCTGGAAATGTCAAGTGTTGGCAAGGAGGTGGAAGACTTCTGTTAGGAGTATAAAGAGTCCAACCACTTTGAACAACAATTTGACAATATCGTGCACTTATGAATAATTTTACTCTGTAGCCCAGTGATTTTATTCCTAGGAGTATATTATAAAAAATTCTTGTACACATGTACTAGAGAACTTTCTAAGAATGTTCATAAAAACATTATACGTATTAGTAATAAGCAGGAAACCTAAATGTTCACTGGCAAAAGAGTGGATAAAATGATATTTTCACACAATGGACTTAAAGAGTAGTGAAAATAAACTATAGTTACATACAAGGAAAAAATGGATAAATCTTTAAAAAAGCAAGTTTCAGAAGACTGTATAATGTCATAACAGTCTTAGAATGTTTATGAATATGCAAAACTAAGTGATGTAGTAATTAGGATATAGCAGTATATAATGAAACTAGAAAGCAAAAGAATGGCAAGTAGAAAACCCAAAACAATAGAAGAAACACTCAAGTAGCTTCAAGGGTAGTGGTAATGTTCTTATATTTGCTTCATAATTTACATTCTTGTATATCACTTGGTATGTATCAAATATTATGTGACAAATATTCTAATAGAAGTAGTTATGAATGAAATTATATTTATGCCAAGAAGTAAATAGTGATTAAGGACAGAGACTTGGGATGCAGATTCTATAGCTTCTAACCTCTCTTTGTTGCTGAAGTGTCTTGTGCCTCAATTTTTGCATCTGGAAAAGGGAATCATAAAAGACTTTATGGGATTATTGTGAGGACTAAATGCATGTACAGATGTAAAGCACTTAGAAGAGTGCCTTGGTACATGTAACAAGCTATGTGTTTGTTCTTATCTTCATCACTCTGGGGCCAAATACACAACCTTGCTTCTTAATTTGCTTATTTGCAAATAATCCTATTACTATGGAGGAATAATATATATGTTGTAAATGGTATTGTGAAAAGCACAGTATTCAGCAGATAAAATTTAATTGTAAAGATTTTGATTCAATCTCATAGATACCTTATATTTTGATTTTTTTCAAAAAGACTAGTTGTGTGGTAAAGAGACTAACTTTTGGGAACAGCAGTTGGTGTAATGGTTCCATTGCTGGACTCCCATGTAGTTGACGGAGGTTCGAGTCCTGGACCCGGCAGCTTAAAACTCACACCAGGCACATGTGTGTGTGTGCCCCAAATCCCAAGAGCAGAGTGGAGGCATAGGGACTGCAGAGTGACCATCCTCCCTTGGGTATGATTTCTTGCTTTCTGTCTCTCTGTCTCTCTGGCAATCTCATGTGCCCTAAAGCAAAAATTTCTCTAAAAAAAAAAAAAAAAGATATTATTCTTTGAGTCAATTTACATAAGGAGTAAAGACACTTTCTTTTATATGTAGTTGGATATGGCATATACTAGATTTTTCCTAACATCCCTGTTGGGATTCTGTTTGAAATCTTGTTAAAATGTCTTTATTAATAATTTATGAAATAACATTTTGTGATTATAAAACCATTTACTCATTTTTTATGTAGTGCCTTCTAGACTTTTCCCGATACTCTAAAATATAAAATCATAGGCCATGGGTGCAGTGGTAAAATGTGATGATTTGTGAGGCACATCCAGAAAGGAAGGTTCCAAGTTCTCATCCAGAGACCTCCCTGAGTACTCTGGGCACACATATGCCCATGGTCCAGGTTGCCTGAGGCTGGGGTGGACCACAGTGTCAGGACCTTTTTGGAGGTGATCTATTTGGTTTCTGTCTCTTCCTCTGGCTCTGTCTCTCACTCATGGAATAAATCATTTTTTTTTTCACAAAAGGAAATTGAGCGTAATGGCTATGTCGCTGGACTCCCACGTAGTCGACCGCGGTTCGTGTCCCGGACCCGGTGGCTTAAAACTCACACCGGGCGCGTGTGCGTGCATGCCCAAGATCCCGAGAGGAGAATGGAGGAGAAGGGATTGTGGCGTGGCCATCCCCCCTGGGGGGTGATTTCTCGCTTTCTGTCTCTATGTCTCTCTCTGTCTGTCTGGCGAGCACACGCACCCTATAGTGAAAAACCTCTCCAAAAAAAAAAAAAAAAAGGAAATTGAGATAACCAATTAAATGAGTATGTGGAGGAGTAGACAATGAAAGAGGGGAATTCTGGAGTGTTCATATGTTCATGTTATGACTATGGTCGCTTGTAGTGGCACCCCTGGGCCGCTAGCTTACTGTACTGACTGTGCTTACCTGTACCTGGGAAGCAACTAGACACCAGGTGCCGGACGGCGGTGGTGATCCAAGAGCTGGGATGCTCCATCTGAGGACATCTTTTCCCTCTCTTTTCTCCTCACAGGCTGGTAGAGATAAAACCATTTTGAATCTGCTTCCTGGAAATGCAGTTTTCTTCCCATTGATTCTTTTTGTTTTGAGAATGGAAGGCAGTCAGTCCAAGAAAGATGCCTGGAAAATTTTAGGCCAAGGAAACAATGGACAGTAGAGCTGCAGTAGGTTGCAGTATATTTGTTGTACCTTCAAAATGTATTTCTCAGCAGTTACAACAATATGTCAGACTCTGTCTCCACACTTTGTTTAAGATTAAGCATGTGGACTACAGTGACCCTGAGGTCATCCTGCTCCCCTTATGGTAGTATTTAGTCAATTGCTGCTATACAAAACCTGTTGCTATAGCATTTGGTCTAGCGTAAAGCTTTGACAAACAATTGTGTGATCCTTCTTCCATTTGTGGATTTTACCTTCAAAATCACCCTTAAGTTTTTTAAGACCTTGGAGCGCGATTTTCAGGATGACTTGAATGTCATGATACCTGGATGATTGTTCTTAACCTTGGCACAAATTAAGTCTTTGGCTCTACTTACTTTGCCTTAATATTTCTCTTAGGTTTACAGTTCTAAAGATAAATGTATATTTAATTTTTATAGGCACTCAATAACCACCAGTTGGATTCTCAGCAGCTGTATGAAGCTGTCAAGTTTAAGGCAAGCTATAACTTGTCTTGTGTTAGCCTTCCTTTCTTAGTCAAACCCCAGAATTCAGAGACCAAACTTCTCTCCCACATTTCTGAGCTGGTATAGTGTTTTTCAATATTAAATTTAATCTGTGTTAAGAGGAGTTCACTAGTAGCAAAACCAAAATCCCCTGAACTTTACTTTGCCTGTGTGTGTGGTACAGCCAGCATTAGCAAACCCAGTGAATTCAGTAACATTATTCTACCCAAACCTAGGTCAGATTTGTTGATTAAAACATTAGAGGTTTAAGGACTAGCACTATAAACACTCAACCTAAAACTTCATTATATCATAACCCACTGTATGTCTTGTACTTTTTAAGTAAAAGAATGTATTTATACTCAATTACTGATTCAATGGGTCAACATGAAGAGGTCATCATCAACAACAGACATTTATTGAGCGCCTATTGTGAGCAAGGCACTGTACTAGGTAGGGGCTACAGAGACAAAGGGGAAACAGTCCCTGCCCTCAAGGAGCTTACAATCTAATTAGACTAACAGGACACATACATAAAAAGACAAAGGACAGTCCAAGGTAGCATATATAATATTAGGGCACTGAATAGAAACCAACAGGATTCAGTCTTTTTTGCATTTGCGTTTCAATACCTGAGTAGGTGGGGGGTGAATAAGCTAGAACAGAGGGATGACTCCAGTTCATTTTAAAGTCTTGTAGACACTTTCTCACTGCTTTCCAGTAAAAAATATCTTCTGGCACGTGCTACAACCTAGGCAATGGGTTTGCTCTCCCCACCCCCACTCTGGACTTCTAACAGTTCTCTTTGAGGTGACCTTCTGTTAGAGTGTTAGAGTCTCTGAGGGGGCTGTCCTAGTTTTAGCACTGAAAAATCTGCCTCTTGGAACTCCCTTTATGTTACCCCATGGCCCCAGGCACACAGGACGGTATTTGTGAAGTACCTTGTCCTGTAGCTAGATGTACTCCTCCCACCTACTAAGGTCATTACTCTTTCAGCACCTATCCCAAATCTGTTCCCTGGACAGGTCTATAGTTAAAAAGAAAAGTACAAGGAAGACCTTACTGCCCCAAAGACTGCTGGTTTAAGAGCAAAGAAGACAAAAAAAGACAATCAGGTGAGAATGACAGAAAACAGAATAAAGTTCAGGAGAGAAGCAATGAGGAAGAAAGAAATGATTGGGTCAGGAATGAAATTTGTAGAGGATGACATCACCTCCTAACACTGCAGAGAGACTAAGAACATGGATTCTTCTCGCAGAATAGGTCTATTTAACAATTTGATTCATCGCTCCAGTGGAATCCGATCCCAAGCTTATATTTAAAGTGAGGTCACTTTACACAAGCGCCAATATTTGGGCAAGTATTAAATAGGTACAGCATTTAAAATAGCATTGTCTTAATTCTAATGAAATCTCAACCTTTTCTTCCACTTGAACTTACCATTCATTTGGCTTCTAAATCAGTAACTTTAATTTTTGAGGGGAGTTTTGTGGTTACAAAATAAGATTATTTTCCTCAATTCTAAAGTAATTCAAATAGATCATCCATGGAGAGAACTTTAGAAAACAAAGGTGTTCTCTGTTGAGAGCTGTTTGGAATTTGGTACGCAATTCTGGTAGTAACCTAAAGATTCCCGGAGACTGCACACATTTCTCTTCTATATACGGTACTTTGTGTTTTACTTTCATTTATTTTTTGAAGAAAAGACCTAACTCTGAAATATTAGGACCATGGAAGTCCCTACATTGCTCTGCTTTTATGTCTAGCCCTTAGGAGTATGTACCAGGGTTAGTGAAGCACAGGGACTTAGTTGCCAAACACCCATTAACGGTAATGGAAATCACACAGCTAAGTCCCCCCACAGTACACTGAATATTTACCTCCTAATGTTCTTTTAATGTACGCTTTCTTGGGTGAATATTTACTGTAGAATATTAAATGTGAGATTCTTCTTTTTATGGGCCATTTGAAGTGATTGATTTTGTTTGTGAATTCCTGTATCTTTGCCCATAATGGCTATCTATTGTAATGGCCTCTGCCAAATGTTCTCGTATTGAAATAACATAAGCCATGGATCGGCCAGCTGTGGTATTGTATTCTTGGAGTCTTAAAGGCTAGGAGGAAGCTGATAACACAGCCGGGGAGGGAAGAAAAAGGTATGGAACATAACGTGTGACTGAAGCTCCAAACACAATTGGATACTGAAATTACTGAGGTCTGTAAACATGCTCTTATAGTCAACTTTTATATCAGAGTTTATGTTTAATGATGTCGAATGATGTTAAGATGACAGTCATGAAATGATAGTGGCAAGACAAAAATTCAATTGCCCACATCCAGGTCCATCAGAACAATTTATCAGAATTCTAGTCATTTTCTTTGATGCTGTAATAAAATCACTATCCAAGTAATAATTTCTTACACTTATTTACACCACATTTTTCCCCCCAGAATATGAACTCACATACCCTAGCTGCATATAGATTTAAAACATTTTCCAGGGGCACCAGGAATTTCAGAATTTGATTGCTTTTCACTCTTTTGAGTATTTGAGAGGGGAAGATTGGCGTTATCATAATGGTCTTCTGTAGAATAAAAAACTTAAAACCTAAAGGTACATAGACATGTGAGATACTATTGATATTAACTTAGCTACTGTACTTACATCCTTGCATGTCCCATCTACACTTTCCAAATTCCCATAATTATAGAACTTGTCAAAGGAACACCTACATCCGAGCAACATAATTTCTTCAAGTGATTGTAAAGGTAGCTTATAAATAAATTGTATAAAAATTCATATGTTCTTAAATATTGTGTGTTTGGAGTCCACGCTACGGAAGTATTGCCCTGGAATAAAATGATTCGTTTCTTTAAAAGTCATGAGTATGTTCTGGACAGCCATTTTCATTTTACTGGCTTTTAACAGCTTACACCACACCACTATAATACCAACTTATTTTTGCTATATGAACTGTTTTCATTTCAACAGCAGTACTCCATATAATTAATAGTCCTAGGTAGTGTAATGAAATGGAATCTTATTACTAATTAAGAAAAGGGAAAAGAAAGTGGTAATAAGCCAGGTCATATTTTGTAAAGCTAATGTCAGTGTCCATACATAATATTTGCTGGTGCCTTCGTTTGGCATTAGAGAAACAATGCCTCCTAAGTAATGGGTAAAAAAAGCAACAGTATTTTAAAAAACTATTTTGAATAATATTAATTATTTAAATGAACATCTATACTATTAATACTAATTGATTTTGAATATAGTAAGTCCTTCATACTCCTTCAGACCAGGGAATGCTAGTGAATATAGTCTAATATTTGCAGTGAGCAAGTCTGAAAGTTTGTAGGACAAATGAATTGTATGACAGAGAATCTCCTTGTATTCTTACCTTTTCACAGAAGGGCAATTCCTTGCTCTTATAGTGAGGAAAAATCCAGAAGTGTTTGTGTGTGTGTGTGTGTGTATGTTGCTCCAGAGAAGCAGAGGGTAGATTTTTAGCCAACGGTGACCCAGGAGGAGGTACGTTTTTAACCACAAGAGGGAGATAAATAGTATGAGGATATAAAAGGCTCCCCAAACTAAGATTCCTTCTATTGTTGGGAAACTTTGTTTTTAAAAGGGGTCAACAAGAAACTCACAGACTTTTTAGATTTGGAGTAAAACCTAAGAAGTCAAGTGGTAAAGTGACTTCATTCAGCAGAAGAGGAAACGAGGACTTTAGAAAAGTTACTCATATCAATTATGATGAAAGAAAACTACCTCTAAGTTTCTCTTATTAGCATTTTTTTAATAACATAGTTTTTGGTTTTCAATTTTGTCCTTTTTGAGCATTTCTGCACATTATAAAATGTTATAGCTATTCTTGCTATGCAACAGCACTTTTCCTAAAGCCTAGGGATTCAAGAAATGTAACACAACATTTCCAAGTCAAATACTGATTGCATGCTAACAGTGAGCGTTGTGAACACAGTAACTCATCAACCCAGTTCTAGGCCATTTCTAACCATCACTCAGGATTAAAGAGTTAGGAAAGATACATTACCACATAATTATAATTTATAAAAATACTGGCCTAGAATGCACTAAAAAACTCTCAATAAATAAATATTAGACATTTGCTTTATGAAAGTCAGTGAAGATGTGCTCTTCAGAAATCATGTCCATACTTACAGGCTGCGTTTTACAAATCACACATACAGAGCCCAACAGATGACAGAAGATATAGATCAGGTTAGGATACAGTTTGATAGAAAAATGTCTTTCAACATAGCGTTTCTATAAAGAAATGCAACTAATAGTGTTTCGAAGGCAATCTTGAGAAATCCACATGTTGTTAGTCATGGCAGCATCACTGAAATGAGTGTTCAGCTCCTAAGGTCACACCTTTGAAGGGACAATGCTCATTAGAATGTATTCATTCTGGCATTTTTCTTTACAAACTAACGATACTGCCTTGCAGCCATGTTGGATAGGCGTCTGTCCATGGTACTTGTTAATGAGTGAAGCAGCTTTTTGCCACTGGTTCTACTCTTCATTTCTGTCTGAGGGCTCAGGAAGTTCAGCACCCCTGTGTCTGGTATGGTTGGTACCCAGGATCACAGTTTGGCAAGCTCACTCCTCAGAACACAGGTTTATTCTCAGGATGATTTATAGCAAGTGATTCTGGTTTCCAGTCTGGTTGAAAAAAGTGAATATTGAATGTCCGTGCCCAGTTCTTAAAGACTCGTTTCTCTGTGATAAAGCGGTGATGACTGCCCTTCCGTCCTCGCTCATGGGAGAGGTACATTGTACATTCATCAGGTCCTAAAGGTTCATAATAATGATAAGGTACTGAAGGGTGATTGGAGTCCCTGTAGGAGGAAAACAAGATAACTGATTAAAGCAAGAAAAATATTTTTTTCCTTTGACTGACTTAGGCAAGATGTTATCTTTAATAAGCTGATAAGCACAAATCATATTTTCTAGTTAAATGAATTCCAGCAAATGCTTTTTCTGTTGTTTAAACAATAAGTAGGTGGAGAGGTTTTGAGGTTGTACAATAAATGCAGTGACCATCATTATCAAAGAGGTTAAAAGTGTGCGGGAGGACATTTGGATTTCCAGGATTTAGACACTACGTATTACTAAGACACAGTTATCGTCATTGTTTCTCTTCTTGCCCCTACATAGTCTACTCATTACGGGCAGCTGTAGAGAGATCTACAAAACAAAAGCAGGTCAATCCCCTTCCCCACTCTGACCCCCTAAACCCCAGAAGCTTCAGGACTAGGATCCTATAGAGTGCTACATGACCTGAGTCCCTTTTGAATCTTCTCCTAACTCACCTGCCTTTGCCTATTTTGCTCTAGCCATATTGCCCTTTCTATTTGCCAGCTCTTCCCATCTTAGTGGCTTTACACTTGAGGGAAACCGCCTGTCTGGAACAATTTCCCAGGAGTTCATTCCTTCTCCTTGTTGGGCATCAACTCAAGTGTATCCTCTTCAGAGAGGCCTTATCTGACACCTTCTTCCTTCACTTCATCTCACTTTTTTTTTTTTTCTAATAGCACTGATCACACTTTGAAATGGCTGCAGTTGTTTGTTTATTGTTTGTCCGTGAGGGCAGAGATTTGCCTTATTTCTAGGGCAATGCCTGGTAGGTGCTCAAGAAATACTTTTTTCTTTTTAAAGATAATTTTTTAAACAAATGTATTGATTTATTTCTTCCATGGGTAGGAGAGACAAAGAGAGAGCGATAGAGACAGAGAGACACCCTCTCCAAGGTCCTGGCACCATAATTTACCCCCAGCTTCAGCCAGCCCCGTATTGTGGACACATGCATGCCTAGGGTGTTGAGGTGAGACTCAGGATGGAAACTTGAAACCTTCCCATGTGGTCAGTTTTGCAGAACATTGTGTTACTGCTGTGCTGCTGTTTTACCTCATAAAGATAGAGGCTTGCTTTGTTGCACTCTGCCTATCTGAGAGTCTCAAATGGGACAAAGGCTTGTGCCACCATGCCTAGCCCTTTTTTAGAAAGGATCTTGCCTAGGCCAGGCTCATGTTCCTCCTACCTCAGCCTCCCTGAGTTCCTAGGATTAGAGGTACACACTGCCACATTCACTTTAGATGGACTGGGAATCAAACCCTTTCATGTGGTCCCAGCCTAACCAGCACAGCAACTTAGTAATGGGCTTCACCATGGCTGAGTCAATAATAATTTTTGAATTTTTGTTGTTGTAAAACAAGTATATGTAGTCCTCAGCTACAAAACCAGACTCTAAAGATGTTTTTTCTCCTCTAAATATGGAAAATTGATGATCCTAGTTTGATCCCATGAGGAGGAAGACAGCAAGCAAGATGCCACTTTTCATTGTTGCTCTAGATGGCCTATGCATTCCAAGTAGTCTAGAGTCTCTTAGTCCAGAAATTCTAAATCCCCAGTCCCTACTTGCTAGCCTGACAGACTATGCATTTTTGTGCCTCTGTATCCTCAACTCAGTTCCAAACAAGAAACACTGGCTCATTTCTTTAAAGTGGGTTGCACAGGATTAATGTGTGGGGCTGATGGTAGGTTACTAAAATATTTAAACCCGAAAGAGCCCTGGTCTCCATTTGAAGTCAGTACTCCCCCAATTTTTCTGTATTTTCAAGAGTAAAGGATAAGATTAGTTAGTATACCAGCTGACAAACCTTCCTACTTTAAGTTATACTTACTAGCCAGCGTGGGTACAGAGACTAAGAGAAAAGGCCCAGGCTGCCCCTCCAGGCCTTCAGGCTGTCCTCTAAGTACAGTAACGTGGTTTCCCAAACCAGCTCATCATGCTAGACACCTATTTGCTTTCTTCAGAGGAGATCAATACACAAATGGCTTTTAGAGTAGCAACTTTACTGGGGTCAGGGATCGAAGTCTTTTATCAAGAGGGGTGTCAAGTTTGTGGCTCTGACAACCATAAACCTTTGAGCTGTTTCTCCTCTTAGGTTAAAGTTCTTCCAGGAAGAGAGATTTATTTTCACCACACAGCATCTAAACATTCTTCATCCTGGCTTGGGTGCTGTGCCGAATTAACACTTTGCATCCATAATGTGCCTGTCTTGGAAGTATCTCTGTTTTCTACAGTGACACTGAATCCTTTCCTGTCTAGTTATTACAGATTTCACTAATTTATTTACACCAAAAATTGAAATTCTTTTAAAATTTTAATAGGCATTACTTTTCAATACAGAAAATGCCTGCTGGAAAAATTCAGGTTGAAACTGACAATTATGAAAAAGAAAATGAACAAACAAAAAAAGGAAACTTGTGAGACAAATCTCACTAGATTTGCTTGGCTTAGTTTGCTGAACCATGGCAAATTCATGCTGCCATGGTATATTCAGGGTTAAGCTTTTATTCCATTACAAATCTGAGTCATCTAAGTTTGGACATATTATTGGCATCAATCTGACAAAAGAAACAATTAGGTTTCTAAAAATATCATGAGATTGATTTGGCACCTAGGAATAGAGAGTACTTGGAAACCAGCTAAAGGATGCAATAGGATCAAATTCCTTATTCAGGAAGACCATCTCTGAATGGAAACTTATCTGGCTCATATTGATCATCTAAAGGGAGAATTAAATTTACATATTTGATTATTATGACTTCAGAGGTGTTCAGGTAAGTCACTCATGCAAGTGAGAGTTGTGCCCACACTTTAAAGTTCTGTTCACCCAGCAGACAAGTGCTTGGTGGACTTGGGAAGGCAGAGTGCAGTAACTGCAGTAGAAGCTCTCAGGATGACTCTGAGGCTGCTGTTAGCTGCAATCCACCATTCCATGTGGAAAGCCCTTCCCGGCTTGAGGTCAAAATTCGTCAAGTGTTTTCTTAAACTGGTTTTTAAAGACTGCCATAGCTTTTTCTTCCTCGATTTGATCCCAGTGAAAACAATAAATATCAGTAGAATTTTCACCCAAGGAGGCTGCTATAGAAGAAAGAAGTCTGGTGAAGCTGAAGGAGCGGTGGTGTGGGTTGGGGTTGGGGGCGGAGATGATCACAGCGCCAGTACCTAGGTGGCTACAGCTTGCCATTGGCACTCTTTTTTTCCTTCTTTTTAGTTACTATTAATATTTTAAATTTGCTATAAGACACAGGTACTCACCAGAGAGAGACAGAAAGAGAAAAAATGAGAAAGCAAGCTGCCAGGTTCAGGACTTGAACCCTGGTTGGCCATGTGGGAGTCCAGTACCCCAACTAATAGCCAGTGAAGGAACCAAAGATGTAAAGAAGGGTTTTTGTTTTGCTTCATTTCTTTTTAGGGGAAGCTGGTTGGGGGGAGTGTAGGAACTAATGTGTAGTATATACGAGGAACTTTAAAGAAATACCATTGCATATACTCCACTTCCAGATTCTGGTTTAAATGACTGGAGAGTCCTAGTCACAAGTATTTTTAAAAAGTGCATTAGATTTGGGCATCAGAATAAATAATGACATTATTGGATTGTAGAATCCATCAAATCAAATGAATATCCATGAGTTCATGAAGATTTTAATAAATGACTGAGTAAATGTGTAAATGGGGGAGAAGAAACACGCATTTAATTACAGATGAATTCAAATTAATATACGTAGGAAGAATGAGGCAGTAGAAAACCACCTATAGAAAATTGCAGTAGTTATTACAGGCAAGATGTACCAATAAATGGAACATTGAAGGAGAAGCAGATGAAGTGAATTAAGTTGTTTGCATAGTCCTAAAGCATCTTCCCCAGGTTCTTTATCATTGACAAAAACGGGTAAAATGCAGCAGACACCACCTTAACCAAGTGATCAAGGTTAACGTCAGCAGCAATAAGACAATTTGACAGCATGTACCTCCCAATATGAGATATTGAGAAGAACTTAGCGCTTCTGTGGTATCCTCCCAGTAATGCATAACCTCAATCTACTCAGGAAAATATCAGGAAGATCCAAAGTAAAGGGCATTCTTCAACATACCTGAGCAGTACTTTTAAAAAATGTAATGAGGTTGCGAAAGACTGAGGGAAGACTAAGGAACTGTCACGATTGAAAAGATCAAGGAGACATAGTAGGTAAATGCAAAAGGATCCCAGTTTCAGTCTTGGAGGAGACAAAGGGCATTAGTGGAAAACTGGTAAAATCGCAATAGGACCTGTTGTTTAGTTGAGTTAAACTGAGTATCGACATCAATTTCTTAGTTTCGATAATTGGATCACAGTTATGGAAAGTACCATCATTAGGGAAAGCCGGAAAAAAAGGCATATAAACTCTCTATACTAGTTTTGCTACTTTTCTATAAGTCTAAAATTATTTAAAACAAGAATGAATATATAGAGTATATATTTCCTACTTATATATATTTAAAAAATTATTTAAAACAAAAATGAATATATAGAGTATACATTTTCTACTTATATATATTTAAAAGCTCCTTAGGAGATTCTAAAGTTAAACAAAACAAAACAAAACAAACAAACAAAAACTCCTTAGGGGAGATTCTAATATGTGCCAGGTCTGAGTCAATTAATTTCTTAAGTACCTGCTAAACCTCAGCTTAACATACATGATCTCCTTTACATCTCCATCAGCCTTTGCTGCTCCCACTTGCCAGGTGGCATTTGACACTCAGGTAAGAAGCCCAGGGACTGGCTTTACACACATAGTGTCTCTCCTGGACCATCTAAAACGCTAAACTTGATCATTTCAGTCCAGAGCACAGTGCTCAGAACTCCCTGTATATGAACTTACTTAATCCTAACAACACTCTTATAAGACAGGTACTATTACGACCTCTATTTTACAGATGAAAACACTCACCACAGAAAAATTCAAGAAGTTTCAGGGCCAAGATAGAGTCCAGAACTAGATGACT